ACCAGTTAATTGCATTGACTCATTGACTCAAATACAATCCCTCACACTAAGCATGCTTGTAGCGACAGTGGAGAAGAAAAACTCCCTTTTAACAGGAAGAAACTCCAGGCTCAGTGTGAGCAGCCATCTGCCGAGGCTGACTGGGTTTCAAGGAGACAGAAGCAGAGACACAAAAAGCAGCTGCACAAGGCGGCCCCATCCAGGAAACACACAGCCAGGCAGACGAGCTCCGAGCCAGCTCCCCTAGTAAACCTGCAGATTGAGAGAGAAGTACTTTGTTAGGAACATAATTAACAATCAGATCTCTGATATCAGATGGAGCTTGGCCATTTAAGGCTTTATATGTGAGAAGGAGGATTTTAAATTCTATTCTGGATTTAACAGGAAGCCAATGATGAGAAGCCAGAATAGGAGAGATATGATCTCTTTTTTTCATTTTCATCAGAACTCTGGCTGCAGCATTTTGGATCAGTTCAAGGTTTTTAACTACAGTTTGTGTACTTCCTGATAGTAAGGAATTACAATAGTCCAGCCTTGAAGTAACAAATGCATGGACCAGTTTCTCAGCATCACCCCTGGACAGGAGATTTCTAATTTTTGCAATATTCCTCAGATAAAAGAAGGAATTTCTAGAAACCTCTTTGATATGGGATTTAAATGACAGGTCCTGATAAAAAACAACACCAAGATTTTTTACTTTATTATCTGAAATCAGTTTAATCCCATCCAAATGAAGTGACTGGCTAATCAGCTTATTTTTCAAAGACTCTGGTCCAAAGACTATAACTTCTGTTTTGTCTGCATTTAGAAGGAGAAAGTTAAGAGTCATCCAGGTTTTTATGTCTTCAAGACATGCCTGTAATTTATGTAATGGGTTAGCTTCATCTGGATTTATAGACAAATATAGCTGGGTATCATCAGCATAACAGTGAAAATTAATCCCATGCTGTCTAATAATTCTACCGATTGGGAGCATGTATAAAGTAAAGAGAATTGGTCCTAGCACTGATCCCTCTGGTACTCCACAGGTACCCTTTGAGCATGTGGAAGATCTGTCAATAACATGAACAAGGAAGGCCATAAATATCACCTGGAAGATATCTGATTTTACTGAGATGTCAGTAATCTACAGGGATCCCCCCCATTTATCCATGTTGACATCAGAGTACGATTGGTCTTATTGAATATGGGCAAATTACTAGTGGATAAATGGGAATAAAATTAGAGTTCAGACAGAAAGGAACAAAAAGAGGCAAGATTCCAAGAAATCATTTCCACCCCAGAGCCTAAATTTAAAGGCAGTTTTTAAACCTTACACTATACAAAGTGATAATAATGAATTTTAATTTCTATGGTGCTTTTAAAGAAAGAAAACTCCAACAAAAAATTATTTAACTTTTAGCTAAAAACTCAAAATATTAAAGTAAGTATAGGGCATAAAATGAAGTTAAAATAAAGTTTACAAAATGGAGGAATTAACCTACAATTAAATTAAAGGAGAAAAGTAAAAATGTGTTTTGAAATTAGATTACGTAAAGTGGCTGAAGGATTAAATGGGGCGACAAGATCATATTCCTTTTTCGGCAAAGGCTTTTTCTTTGTATTGTCAAGACGAACAACTTTATTTTATTCATTTGAAACATCTGCAAACTCTTTCTAAGATGAAAGTGCGCATTCAGCGTCTGCTCTGCCGATAATGCAAGCGTAGAAGAAGAAATGTGCTGTTTACCTGTGCAAAGAAAGAAACAATGAAAGAAAAATGTCTGAGGACTTCAGTGTTGAGGAAGAGCATGAGTTCTTTGCCGAGCTGAATGCGCACTTTCATCTGGTTTGGTCTGCCGCGGTTTCCGTAGCGTCGTGAACGTGCGGGCGTGCGCTTTCAGGAAATCCTATACACTACTGTTTATGCTCTAAAAACATTTTAAATGACTTTGTTTCGAGTAAATTCTGGATGCTACCCACTCAGGACACTTGGAATACATTGGACGAGCAGTATGGAGGGATATTGACACGTTTTTTGTGGACTTTTATGGACCTTTCTGTCTCGGGCACCGTAGACCTCCATTATTTGAATGTCAGCAGACAGCAAGAAGTCTCCCAGATCTCCAGATGCATTTGAGATATCAAAAAAGTACTCCAGAGTGTTGTTCAGCATGGGGGTGAGTAGAAAATGAAGGCTAATCATGTTTTGGGTGTACTATTCCTTTAATGAAGGTCATTGGGTTGGTAGGGTGGCGCCCTCTATTGGCCAGCTGCCACTGCATCTAACTATTTATAAATATTAGTGTATTTTAGTACTATTTAGATGTCAACAATATGAAAGCATTAAATAAATATGTGTATAGGCTCGTTCTTTGGAAATAGAAAAACCTAATGAATGTGTTCAGGTTGTGTAACTGTAGGTCCATCAGCCACCAGCAACTTTCATCACAAAGTTACATCTTTGCTGCAGATTCTCAGAGCTGCCAGTGTCAGTGGACCGTCTGCAGCTCGTTGGGGTAAATCAGAGTTCATCTTTCACTGCCAATGCAGAGGAAATGACAAAAATAATAATACAAAAATAATAAAATATATAAAAAACAAAAAAACGTATTTACTTTTTTTTTTCGATGTTCTTCACCAGCAGATCCTAAATCATTACTAAAGGAATTAGTTTAATGTAGTTTAAATGTTTTTGTCTGACTAGATTTTTTATACAACTGCTGTTCAACTTCTTTTGTGGTTTTCTGTCAGTTCCTTGAAAACAATGTGATGTTTTCCATATTACCAAATACATGGTGGTTGTTGGTCTGCAGTTCCTTTTATACTTGTTTCAAGTTTAAAGAGGAAATAAGATCCTTACTTTAAGATGTGCAGCAGAGAAACGTCTCTCAGTATTCAGCAGCCGATATAAGAAAAGGAGATGTTTGGTCTGGAACTGATTCTGGTCATTGTTCTTCAGTTTGAAGGTAAAGATCTGTTTTCTTTCAAATTAAGATGAATTAAAGTCTTTGGTTTACTGAAACATTTTATGGAGAAATATGAATTACAGTCTAGGATATAAAAGAGTTAATCTATGTTTCATGTAGGCTATAAGTCAATCAGGTTTTTACCGAATTGATCAAATAATCCTCAGAGAAAAATTTAATTAAGAAAAATGGTTCTAAACAAAAAAAAATGTAAAACAGCAATTCAAACAGGATGTGAGAAAAAAACTAAATATTTTAATTCCAGCTACTTGATTGTATTTGAGAAGGAAGAATTCTGTAAAACTTGAATGTCTCTGCTGCAGGAACCAGAGGAGGAGTTCTTCATCACTATCATAGATCTGGAGATGATGTCATCCTACCTTGCAGCAGTTCTTCAGACTCTTCCCCATGCTCCATTGTTCACTGGTTTTACAGCGGAAATTTTATAATTATAATGGAAAAGTTGTTCAGAGTTCACCTCGAGCTGCCAGATTAAATGTGGACAGTAACTGCTCTCTGATCATCAACAACATCACTGCTGAAGATGTTGAGGTTGAAGAGTGTACCGCTGTCAGCTTGGTTCAGAATCATCCATCTTTGATGGCGTTGTGTCTCTAAACGTTCTGACCAGTGAGTATGTAGACCTGAATGATCTGATGCTGTCAGACTCTTTCCCTCTGATTAACATTGTGAAATACTTGTGTTGGACAGATGTTTCTGACATCAACAGTTCTGATAAATATCTGATGCAGTCAGAAGTTCAAATGTTGTTCTGTCAGACTGTGAACCAATCATTTATTCAGCTCTGTGTGATGCTTCAACCACACATCAGTCCACACACTTAGTTTGACTTTACAGTCAAAGATCTGATATTGAAAAGGTTCATTCATTTCATGGATGATTGTTTTTATACCTAACAATGATCAAATCAAACTCAATGTGGTTTTTAAATCTTATTTCTGCCTCCAACTGTGTTTTTGTTGAGTTTTCTTTGTTGGGTTTCGGCTGCTTCCTGTTTGAGCTAAAGGCGGGGCCAAGCTTTGAGGAACTAAACATCAGGAAGTGACCTCATCAGAATGAACGTTGTGCTCAGCTGCTGTGGGGCTGTTTAGATTCAATTAGTTTTTCTTGTATTGTGTGGTTAAATGCTTTGATCAAACCACTGCATCATTTACTTTCATTTGGAAAGTTTTCTTGTTTTGTTCCATCATGATGATAAATACCTGCTCAGATCTGCAACATTAGTGCATCAATCACCAAGAAACATGGAGACAAAATATAAGATTTCATCACAGCGAGTTTCTTATTCTCTTTTTCACAGTTTGTTTATTCTGTACATAACATCTGATTAGAATATACTCTGCAGGAAATTGAAATCTAAATAACAATTTTTTTCTTAAAATGCATTTTTCTTGAATTGGGGAGGTGAGACAATTTGCCAATGGAACAAGAAAATATATACTTGAAATAAGAGAAAACAATCACATAGTCTTATTTTAAGGACATACTATCTCATTTTAAGAGTAAAGACACTATCTCTATTGGCAAATCATCTTATTTATCTGCTCGAACTAGGTATGAGGAATATACTATTTATTTCAATAAGCATTTGGTTATATTTTGAATTTAGGTTTTATCATTTAAATAACCTCTTTTCAGATCTGGTGTTCAGTTAGTGTCAGGCGCATAGTTTCACTTTTTTAGAGTGTGCATGCTCAGCGCTTGAGGAGAATTAATGGATCAGGATGAGAAGCAACAGTTCTCTAAAATTTCATGGATGTGAAACCCCCCCCCCTTCCTCTTTTTGTAAACCCTGAGTTTCCTATTAAACTGAAGTTATTATGTATCTGCTTGGGCTCAGTTATTGAGAAAGGTCAACAAATCAGAAACTTCATGCCCTGCAAGAGTGGTGAAGCACATTTTTATTGTAAGGCAAAATTTAGGCACTATACAGCCTGAGATCAATTTTTTTCTCCATCTTTCAGACTCTGAGAACAGTTTTCATTTTTCTTTCAGTCTCTCCATCTTCACCAGCTGCTTATTCAACCAAAGATGGAGATGTCACATTATTGTGTTCCCTGGAGAGATTCAACTGGAAACAGCCTCCTCTGGTTGGATGAGAGAGGAACTCTTCTGACTGGTGAAGGTGTTGGGTACTACTTTAGACAGACTGGCTGTGATTCTTATCTCACTGTGAAGCTTCAGAGCAGCAGCAGCAGAAGATACACCTGCCAGTTTGTTGAGGGAAATTTAGTGAAGATAGAAGCTCACTACCAGCTGGAAGGTATGATGTCATTACTCATCTGTCTAGCTTTGCTCTGTTTCTCACCACTCATTTGATCCACCTGCTCCTGCTTCTATTTAAACTCCTCAGTCGCAGCCATCAGGCCAGATTATTCTTGAGCCTTTGGTTTTGATAGTTCTTTAGCGTTTCTATAGTGTTCTGATTGCCTGATCCTGATCCGTTTCTGTATTTGGTCCATTGAGTCTGCTTGCCCCTGTCTGAATAGTTTGCCTGGCCTCTCTTCGGACTCCTATTGGATTCTTCCATGGGAAGAGCCTGGATCTGCCTCTTGAATTCACGCTATAGATTATCGACAGGGGATCAGCTTGGATCTGATCCCCTGTCAGCTCTGCAGCCTTCTAGGCATCTGTATCTGGAACTCTCTGGCAACATCCACTGCATCTTGTCAGCCGATCTTCTGGAATCATCCTGGTTCTCTGGGCAGAGACTGAACTGTCAAACCAGGTTAGTGACTCACATGATCAAAATGATCCTACGTCAGATTATCGTGGTCACTAACCTGTTACTCTCTCCGCTGCAGCTGCCTTTACTGCAGTGTCATTGTCTGAAATAAATGTATTCTAAGTATTCAACTCTCTGTCTTGCCTTAATTCTGGGTCCTAATTTCTGACCCATTACAGGCAATGGCTGCTATGCACATTAATACCTCTTGTAAGTCAGTTGATTATATACTCATCTTAGACATTTAATAGACAGAAGGCATTACATGGAATAAATTCCTTGAGCCACCGAGCCTCAGTTCACACTGTTGTGCCATGTGTCATAATTGTGATTTTGGACATTGGGAACAGTGTCCATGTTTAATCTTGACATGATGATCAATGAGAAGAGGATGCGGTTTTGGCTCATGGAGTAGCTGTGAAACTTCCCCCTCTTTTTCAACCAACATGCTAGACAAGGCAACCCCCTCCCAGAGCTGCCACCAACCTCTGTGTTGGGAACAGTAAATTCAATTCAATTCAGTTTATTTATATAGCGCCAAATTCACAACACATGTCATCTCAAGGCACTTTACAGTTCAACCAGATCATACAGTCAAATTGATGCAAAGTTTTCTATCTAAGGAAAACCAGTTGATTGCATCGACTCATTGACTCAAATACAATCCCTCACACTAAGCATGCTTGTAGCGACAGTGGAGAGGAAAAACTCCCTTTTGACAGGAAGAAACCTCCAGCAGAACCAGGCTCAGTGTGAGCGGCCATCTGCCGAGGGGTTCAAGGAGACAGAAGCAGAGACACAAAAAGCAGCTGTAAAAGGCGGCCCCGTCCAGGAAACACACAGCCAGGCAGACGAGCTCCGAGCCAGCTCCCATGCCAGAGGATGAAGAGAGCACATCCACTCAGTCACGGTCAGAGAAACAGGATCACACTGGAAAACAGGCCGATCTCCAACATCTATAAACAAGGGTGTTGATGGAAGCAGCATAGCTGACGCCCCTCTCCAGGATGACGTCACAGCCAAACAGGAACAGACGAGGCAAAGCTACTCTGAGGAAAAGCAGAGAGTGCAGAAGGTTAGAGATTGAACTAACAGATTCTGCAGAATGTGTGTAAAGACACCAGCACACAAGATTTCATTCTCTCTGTCCCATTAGCGGCCTGGGGTCCACATCAGAAGAGGCAGCCACCATGGAGATCCATGCAAAAGGCCTAGATCTCCAGAGTGACCAAGGATAAGTCATGAGGGTTTAGTTTTCAGAACCAAACTGCTGCAAAACAGACGTTTCGCAACATATTTCTCTTGAGTTTCAGAACTTACACAGCCAGACTAGAGGAAAAAGTCTCCTGAAGATCCCTTAGTGTGAGCCACATGGGACAAGAAAATCCCCGTTTGCTGTGAGCCTGCCGTGCTAAGCTGCTGCTGGATGGAACTCAACTTTGCAAAGAACTGACAGATTTTTGTAGGTCTTGCACAATTAGGGACAAAACAAACAACATGTCTTTTGATGATTTTAAACATTTCATGTGTTTACTGATGAGTAAACACAAAGCTAACAGGATGGTCTGCATGCTATGCTATGCTACAGTAATATTTTTTGAGCTGCTGTTGAAGCTTGGACAAGCTTTACATCACTAATGCTTTAAACACTGATACAACATTAGTGTTCATGTGTTTTTTCATATGCTCATTATATTTCGATTAACAAGTGGGAGTAATTTAGTGGAATCCTGATGTCTATTTGCTGCTAGCTATTTCAAAGAGGGTAAAGAATCATTTAACTAAAGGTTACTGGTTCCTGATTAAGCGAACCATTTAATAAAACAGAATTTGGCCAAATAATGTTGTATTCACCTCATGTATTTAATTGTGAAGTGGTCTTAAAACATTCCAATTTCTCTAAATTAGTGAAAAGCTAATTTGATCACATCCCAAATTCTTCCAGATAAACTTTGGTTTTCAAACATAAAATCTATCTTAAACTGTAATATGGTTTTCAACCAAGTTTCCCCATCCTCTCTCTACACGGTAGTCTAGTTTAGTGGAGTTCACTAGTTTTAGTAGGTTTTTAACTGAAATATGTTTGACTTCGAGCTGAATGATTTTTTTTAATAAACTCTTATATTTTGAACAGAAGTTGTGGTGAATTTGTTCCATGTATGTGTACAATTATCTGTCTGACCATGATTTGATCTAATTACTCTTTCATAATAAACATCTTAATATAATAAACATATAAATAAACATCGCAATAAAGTATCAGAACATATTAATTCCCCCATATAACAGTTATTCACAACAACACAGTTGAGGTTGTTCCCCCATCTAACGATGTTAATTTTAATCAAAGCAGTGATCCTGGAGATTATGATGAGACGTTCAAATAACAGCTAAATTTCTTCTCCTCAGAACATTTCAGGTCCAACCAGTAGGACACTGACTGCTGAATGATCTTCAGTCGCTTCTTCCTTAGAGAAAAAAAAATCTCAGTTTACTGTTCATTTAATGTGTGAAGATAAAAGGTCAGAAACCTTTCTGAACTTGTTGGAGAGAAGATGTGATTGATTCTAATGGAAAATCCGCCATCATAAATCTGAAATCAGATCTAAAATAATTCAAGCACAGCAGCTTTTCTCCTCCATCTCATCCACAGGTTTCCGAGACTGGTCTCCTCTGAGCTTCATCATGTTGACTCTGAGGATCACAGCACTGATCCTGATGGTTGGAATCACTGCTGATATCATCAGAACCAGAGGTGAGCAAACTGGACCAGAATGGAGCAAATCTACCGAATTTTAATGTTAATCATTTTATTTTTCTTTCCTTCACAGGAAGAAAAAAACCTCAGAAAGACATTAATGTAAGTGAAACAATAAAACATAAAAATATCTTAGTAAATCATTTAAATAACGAACCAGTTTCCTCAAGCTTTAAACCTTCAGCTTGTAACAGTAAAGGTATAGTGGAGGATGTTTTTTTCCGGGTGGATCATTAAAATAACTGTTCTTCCTAAATGTCAATCATTCTGGCGATATGTTTACTTAAGGCCGCCCTATGTGCTCATCCCCATTTTCACTTACAGGTGGTGAGTCTGACATAGTGGGAAAATTGCTAATCTTCTTTTGGAAAGTAAGCTTGTATGAGCGATGCAAACAGCAACTTTTAAACAGAGCATGCACCAGGAGAAATGGGCTCATGAAAGCTCTTGCTCCTGTTTAACAGGGGTTCCCTCTCACAAGCGAGTACAGAGTTGTGCATGTGTGTTTTTTGTCAAAGTGGAGAGGAGTGGAGAGTCTTTTCAAAAATTCGCCAAAATCCTTCACCTTTAGTGAAACAGTTTCCCTCAGTTGGGTCCATTTTCTGTAAAGTAATAAATAGACCAGCTATTCAAGAGGATTGTTTCTATAACTATTATAAAAGTGATAGTTTGATTTTATATCACAGGTTCACGATGGTGTTGGTGACGACACAGTGCACTATCAAAATGATGGAGAACGTTCTGCTGCTGCCACTATCAGCTGACCTTCATCACATCAATTCAGTTTATACCGAAAAAATGCTTTATTTGAGTCCGCCTCAATAAACATGTGATTTTTCTTCTTTTTATTTGCTTGTATTTCTGGAAAAAATTAACTAAATTTCGTCTATTGGTTCTGATTATTATTCATGAAGGCAAAAACAAAAAAAAAATCAGGATTTGCCCTCAGACTTAAATCCCTCAGGAGGCAGACAGACAGATCCAACATCAGACAGAAACTCACTAATGTGTCATTGTCTCAGATAATATAAGGTCAACTCACCATGCAGGGAGGTGGAGAGACGTGACCAACAGTGAGAGGAAAGTAGTGATTATCTGTCCAAATGGTCAGTTAACTGAGTTCACTATAAAGTCCCTGCTTAATATAATTATTGAGGGATTCAGGCAGACATTCAGACACAGCTACTTTTTTTATGATTAATCAAGAGAAGTAAAGGGAAACCAGTTGTGTGTTCTTATTACCCCACCCACTGGACTAAAGGTGCAGTGCAGTTCTTCACTCTGTGAACTAAGTCCAACTCCTGGGCCTTTTCAGAGTGATGGGGACATCTGGGTAAAATACTGTATTACCTGGGATTCCTGTTATCCAGGTAAAACAAGTCCTGGGGCTTTAACCCCTCCAGGGTTTCAACAGAAAAGGGGTTGAAGTGAATAAATTTAATTTAATTTTAATGTTTATCAAGGTTTTTTTTAGGTTTAATTAATTTGTTGATTCACTGTATAAATTTTCTTCAGTTTCTTTTTCCTTTCTTTTTTTACCAGCGTCCTGTCTGGCGATGTGGCAATACGAATAATTGTCTTGATGCCAAAAAGAGCCCAACAGATTTTACTTTCACAGGTGCAGCAGTAGGGCTATTGCCATAGTGTTCTGCTTGTTTTATGCATATAAATTGCTTTATTATAGTAATGGAGGGAGTTTTACAGGTTACATGGACACTGCAATGTAGGTAGAACAGGAAAGGAAAAACAGGAAAAAAAAGGGAAAAGATTATAGAAAGAGGAGATAACGATAAAACATCTTCAGTCTGCTTCATCACCTGCAAAGAGATGTAAAAAGAACAGCACAACCAACGGACATGGTACGAGACATACAATAAAGTAACACCTACGTAGATACTATCGCTGAAGTATAAGTAGTATTATTTAATCTGACATGTATTCTGTGTTACCTGAAGATGAGAATATGGGCTTTCCGTATGGAAGTGAATCTCTGAATACCTGGAACCAAGCACCTGTAGTTGTTTGTGAAAGTGCACTTGTGCATGTAAAGTTTATCCAAAGGAAAAATGCTCAATAGTGGTTGTGGAGAGCCGAAGAGGCGCCCCCCCCGAAAGCATTGAGTCCATAGCCGGGAGACCCAAAGCCCCAGACGCCCACAGGGACCCCAAGAAGGAAGGCAACAAGGAGGGGCCAACCCAGGAAATCCGACCCCCACCAAGGGAGGAGGAGAGACGGCCCAGAGGAAGACCCCAGCCAGTGCAATGCTGGAGCCCCCGGAAAAAGCGGGGACAAATCTGCGGGCTCCGCCGGCAGCCAGCCACCCCGAAGTGAATCCGGCCATGGGACCCAGGGATCCGAGTCCCGAGGACGCCCGACCCCCCGGCGGAGAAGCTGCCAGGAATAAGCCACTAGCCACCCGGGCATCCACCCCCAAACCCCGAGCTCCACCAGTGCACCAGCGAGCCCAGGCACCAGCCAGCGGAGGAAGAGCAGGATGGGGGAATGGGCTCCGCACTTGGCGGAAAAAAAAAAAAAACTCACAGACTTGATCATGGCTTCCCACCCTAGTAACCCCACTTACACCACACAGACTATGAGATGAGCCAAAAAAAATGGAAAACGCGGACGCAGGCTGCTTAGTGGCACAGTGGGTAGCACTGCTGCCTTGCAGCAAGAAGGTTCTGGGTTTGATTCCCGGCCCAGGATCTTTCTGCATGGAGTTTGCATGTTCTCCCTGAGCATCTGTGGGTTCTCTCCTGGTACTCCGGCTTCCTCCCACAGTCCAAAAACATCACTGTTAGGTTAATTGGCTTCTATAAATTGTGTGTCACTGTCCAGGGTGGACCCAGCCTCTTGCCCATTGACTGCTGGAGATAGCACCCCTCGAGACCCCACTCGTGACAAGCGTGTTAGATAATGGATGGATGGATGGATGGATGGATGGATGGATGGATGGAACACGCAGACGCACATTCACACATAACACTCACATCCAATGATAATAGGACCAAAGACCCGACAGCACCAGTGGTCCAGGGATTATCGGATGACCCAATAAGTGACCTAAAATTCAGATGGGGGGAGGGGAGCGGTGACACTGCCACACCTGCCCATCTCATTCCTGCTTCAAGCCCACCCCGCACCAGGACCAGACCCCCCCCCCAGCAAAAGCCCCCCCGGGTTCGGGGCCCACATGCCCCGCACAGGCCACCCAACCAGAGCCCCCCTACCACCACTAAATAATTCACCCAGCCACTACACGCCCCTCCCTCCATCCTCCTTTGGGGAAAGCAGAAGTGATAGCCCCGCCACCGGCAGGCCACCCCCCACCAAGACCACGGACCAGGTGGCTCGCTCTTCCTCCAGGACAGACGGGGGAAGGGGTGTGAGAAGACCCTGATCCTCCCTGTGCCTGCTGGAATGTGGTGTTGTTGCGTGTTGCTCTGAGGTGTAATTAAAAGTGGGAGTACCAAAAGGGGGTGTCCAGCAAAGTCCCCCCCCCCCCCCCCAGAAGACAGGCGGTGCAAGTGCAACCCCCAAGTCGACAAACCAAAACCCTTAATGTCTAAATGCAAGAGGGGATGGGGGGAGCCGACCATGGTGAGGCCAGGGTGATGGAGCAGGCAGAGGGAGGATTCCGGGGATGCGGAGCAAAGGACTCCCCCGTTGACTTCAATAGTCACCCCCGTTCCCCGAGAGCCCCACCGGAGAGAGGGGCCCCACTAGTCACACCACCATACCCCGGGGGCCAGGGACCGACGGCAGGGCCAACAAGCCAGCCGGCCATCTGGGCACACCAGAGGCCCCAGCAGGGCCGGACAGCCGGGCGTACACCAACCCAGACCACAAGCAGCATTCCCCACAGAACCCGAACCCCCGACGATTTCTATCAGTTTCTGAAAAACACTGAAGTATTGTGAGAGCAAGATAACGTTATAGGTGGTGGGTGTTGATGTGAGGTTTTCAATTTAGCCACAAAGATGAAACACTGTCAGTACTTTTAGATCTGCAGCAGAGAAACGTCTCTCAGTGTTCAGCAGCTGATAGAAGGACAGGAGATGTTGGGTCTGGAACTGATTATCATCGTTGTTCTTCATTTCGAAGGTAAAGATCTGTTTTATTTAAAATTGCGACGATTTAAAGGACACTGGTTTAATGAGATATTTTATGTAGATATGAGAATTACAGAAATTAAATTAATTAATTCATGCAGCATGTACTACGTCATGTTTTAACCAAATTTATGAAACACATTCAGAAAATTTCAATTTCATTTTTTTTTCCTATGAAACTTCAAACTGACAGGACGTAAAATGTTTATTGTTTTTAACATGAAAATGGGTTAAACAGTTATTTTTAAATTTTGCAAACATCATAATGTTCTAACAATAAAGCAAACTTCATGCCACATAAATAAATGACACATTTCTCACTTCAGCCCATAAAAAATGAGGTGGGTAAAAACTTAATGTGTCTTCGTCTCTGCTGCAGGAACCAGTGGAGAACAACCAGACTATCTCTATCACGGATCAGGAGAAAATGTCGATCTACCTTGTAGAAGTCTTCCATCTTCATGCTCCATTGATAACTGGTTTCACAAGAGAACACACCCTGAGAAGGAGGGAAAAGTTGTTCAGATATTACCTGGAGCTAACAGGTTTAGTGTAAACAGTAAATGCTCCCTAAACATTAAAAACATCACTGCTGAGGATGCTGGATATTACAGCTGTTCAGGATCCAGATCTGATTATTCTGTTCTTCTGCTCATTCTGACCAGTGAGTATTTTAACTTTAATGATTTGCTGCTATCAGACTCTTTCTGTTTATTTAACATTTTTTATGCTTTGAATGTTTTTCTGTTGAACAAAGAGTGTGAATCAATATTTTTGTTTACTGCGTCCTGCGCAATAGGCTACTTCAAAAATGATAAACTTGACTGCTTAGAAAAAAAGGACCTTCTCGTACAGAACATCAGAGTCAGTTTTCTGCTCATGTTTTCTGTTTAATCTTAATATGCGCACAGATGCGACCTGAACAACGAAGAGCAGAGAGGAGAAATAATCTCTGATCAGGGCAGAGATCACAAACTTACTGCTGTAAATAATGATGAGATAGATTGAAGATTAAAAGAGAATAAAACCAAATTAAAAAGGCAGCTGGATGATGCAACATAAAAAGGTCGGCGGCCTCAGGCGCTGATGCAAAGGATGGATTAAATTCAGCCATGGTAATAAAACATGCAGACATTAATCCATGGAGGGATAATAAAAACACTGCATTAATTTCACATATTTGAAATAGAAAATAAAATCTTAAACATCTGATGTTAAAAAAGTCAAATATCCATAAGTAAACTGATTTCACTTTTGATTTGTTTGTTTTAGTTAAAAGGGAGCAGTGCGTTTACATAAAAATAAAAACATGGTATGATAATTATTAATCATGAGATTAAAATCAGAAAGACTTTACCAACGGCTATTTTTTCATCTGTAGTCCCCCGAATGATATTTTCAAAAATTTATTTTGGAAAGTCTCTCATGCTGAAAATTACTTATTTGCAAAACCAATCTCAGGAATTCGCATACATTTTTAATGCTTAAACGAAGCTGCTTCATGACATTGTGAGTTTAGAACATTTGGCCAAAAAAAAATTATCTTCTAGACTGTTTGAAAAACTGAGTTTGCTGATTTAAAATGAAATTCTGACAGTAAATTCCAGATCCTCTAATATTGACCTTGTAGAAATTTTAAGATCTAGATATTTAATAGAGCGTATCTACACGTGGAATCTATTTCTAGATTGTTTTATAAAATGCTGTGGGCTGTTTTGAGTTATAGTTTGTTAGAGCGGAGGAATACGGTGTTGTGATGTGAGCAGGAGCGGCAGCTTAGTGATGCAGACAGTTACTGATGGTTCACATGATCCATATTTACCATTAGAACAACTTCTGTTATCCAGCAATTAACCTTGGAGGTTTTGAACCTGAAATTATGAGGGAGAAGCTTCAACATGACTGTATAACAGCTTTTATCACACTGCAATATCTATCTTATTTTAAAAGTTGCTCTGCTGAAAATTTCTCCTGGCAGATAAGCGCCTCAGTTCGTGTTAAAGTGAAATCCTCACACAAAGCCCTTATGGAGGCCACTTACACTTTAGAAACGATCAGCAGCGTATCTCATCTTAATGGAATTCTGGCATTTTTATTGGAAATATGTGATTTAAAATCGCAGCCAACTGCTGTCTTTTTTCTGTGAATTTTATTTCATTTTATTTCATTGTATTTCAGGGTGTTAAACTTGTAAATTGCAAATTATCTTAGTTTAAATGTCAAAAATGTATCCTTTAATTGTGAAAAAGTTCTGATTTAATTTTCACAAATTTACTTTTCAATATAAGGACATTTTTTATTTCTTTTTTCTAGAAAATCTGACTGAATATTATTTTTTTTTATTTTGGACCACCGTGAATATTAACAAGGACAGCGGCTGGGGAGATTCAGAAAAGATCAGTGGAAACAATGACAAAATAAATCCAAAATAAAAAAAACAACAATCAGCAGCACCACAGGACTAAAAACAATATGAAACAACAAAACAAAAGGAAAATAATGCTTAAATGCAATCTAAAGGGAATTACTAAACTATTCCTTAATCCTTTAAAATGTTTTTAGATTATTGCTGTGTGCTACTCAGACACTTTTTTAACAGGGTTTATTTTTAAGTGAGGAAAGGAGGACTGCAATTTGCTAATCTATATTTATGTTGGCCTATGTAATACTGTGTTGCAATAGTTAGATTATTAATTTGAAATTAAACAGGCCATTCTCAGTCATCCAGGTCATGGTCAAGCTAGAAAGAGATCCACTTCACGTCCAGTTGCCTAGATTGAACTCTTTCAAGCAAGTCGGATATTAATTATTTTGAAAAAGAGAAATTAAGAACTATACATATTTTTGTGTTTCAGTTATTATAGCCTATATATTTAATATTTCTCAAATGGATTTTTTATTAGTTTTTTTTCTTCTGAATTTCAAAATCTATTTCTTTGACACCGTCATCACATATTGTTAAACACATCTCTCTTTCTCATGTATTGATGCTTGTCATCAAATAAAGTTAACATTTATAATGTTAATCTGCTGAGTCTTGGGAAAATGTCTCAAATTTCTTCAAAGCCAAAATTATTTGTTCTCTGGGAAGATTGTTTTATCATCAGAAGACTGACAAAATTTATTTATTTACGGTATAATTCTTCAATGTCTGTACTTTCGTGTATTTCCAAATCTAAAATTGATTTATAAAAAGGCTAGATACACCAATCCTGTCCGATTCTCCTTTCTATATTAAATCTGTAGTTAATGGTATGATCGATTGGTCACTAATGTGATCAATAACGGACGATAACTGCTTTGTCATTGATCACAAAATTGACCACCTGTTGCAGCCTGCAGACTACAGCTGATCATCAGCTCCCAGTTTCCTTCATCCTGGGTACTGACTCATTTTGGATGTTATCAGCCCATTTAATGGCCGTTATCAGCAGTAATCAGCCCCATAGGATGCCTTTGGACGGTGCCTGTTCTATCTTATGTTTCTTATTGATATTTTGCAGCTTATTCTTGATAAAAGCCACTTCAGTCATGTCTAAAATATGTTGTTTCTTCCTTTACAGTTTATCCTTTTATCCACTTTTACGTCATAAACCTCATGATTTTTTTTTATAATTTTCATACATTATACCTTTCATCTACTTTATTTGCGATGTACCATAAAAAAAAAAAAAATGCGTTTTAAATCTTCACTTTGAAATCCAAGTTTTAGTTTGTTTTCACATAAACAAAATCTTTTTTGTTTTTTTTTATTTAACCATTGCTGTCAAGGCTATGAAATGGGTCAAGAAGGCAGGTAGATCCTGATACCTTCACAATATTTGACCATCTAATCTTAAACAAGAGCCACCTTCATAGCATGCATAGAGCCTGCCAAACATAAACCAAGGAACATGGTGAAAAAAAGTTATTTAATTATTTATTCATTATTTTTGTGGTAATTACTAGTTGCTGCTTCTCTTTTGGAAAGGTTCATGTTCAAATTAATCAGTGATGCCTGCTCTGTTCTCTCAGAAGTACAGAAAAGACTCCAGGGCGCAACGTTAGCGTATCTGATTCCAGATCAGCAGGTTGCGTATTCAAATCATGTCAGATGACTTGATTGAAGGTATACATGCTTAGCTTAGAGTCAAATCTTAAGATATTGTCTTCATAATTGTGAAACTCTCACATTTGGCTATCAAATCTACAAGAGAAGTTAATTGGATTCTGGTTTCTTGTAGAAAGCAGATTCCAGGATATTGAAGATTTCCTACAACGGTGTGTACTACTCCCTTCAGGGTACAGCACAAACAGGCTTTAACCAGAGTGGAAAAAGAAGTGGGAGGCTGCGTTGCACAACTGAGTAAGAAGATAAGTACATTAGAGTCTCTAGTTTGAGAAATAGACGCCTTACAGGTCTTTAACTGGCATCTTCATTAAATAGTACCCGCAGTAGCCTGTTTGTGCTGTTCTCTGAAGCAAGTAGTACACACCATTGTAGGAAATCTTCAATTTCTTAGCAATTTCTCGCATGGAATAGCCTTCATTTCTAAGAACAAGAATAGACTGTCAAGTTTCACATGAAAGTTCTCTTTTTCGGGCCATTTTGAGCGTTTATTTGACCCCACAAATGTGATGCTCCGGAAACTCAATCTGCTCAAAGGAAGGTCAGTTTTGTAGCTTCTGTAACGAGCTAAACTGTTTTCAGATATGTAAACATGATTGCACAGGGGTTTTCTAATCATCAATTTGCCTTCTGAGCCCATTAGCAAACACATTGTCCATTAGAACACTGGAGTGATAGTTGCTGGAAATGGGCCTCTATTCACTTATGTAGATATTGCATCAAAAACCAGATATTTGCAGCTAGAATAGTCATTTACCACATTAGCAATGTATAGAGTGTATAAGACTAGTTTAAAGTTATCTTCATTGAAAAGTACAGTGTTTTCCTTCAAAATAAGGACATTTCAATGTGACCCCAAACTTTTGAACGGTAGTGTAAGTGCATCAATCACCAGGAAACATGGAGACAACATATAAAGACTCATTGTGTTTTTTTTGTTTCTTAATTTTTTTGTACTTTTGATAAAGTTCTCCTCTTTAAGTTTTTTTATGTTAGAGAAAGTTACCTCTCCAGCATTCAGACTCAGACAGCAGTTTTCATTTTTCTTTCAGTCTCTCCATCTCCATCAGCTGCTGATCCAACTAAAGATGGAGGTGTCACATTACAGTGTTCCCTGAAGACAAACCTCAAGTTTTTAATTTGCACTGGGAGTATTCACTGGTTAAACGAGACAGGGATTAAACTGACTGGTGAAGATGACAGCTACAAGATAAATGAAACAAGCAAATGTGCTTCCTCTCTGACTGTGCAGCAACAGAACATCACCAAGAGATACACCTGCCAGTTTGTTGAAGAAAACACAAAGGTAGAAGCTAACTACACAGCTGTGGTTAAAGGTAGGATGACTTTTATTTACTTAGCAGATTAGTACAACAGAAATTTTATTACGGTAATAATTTTTATGCTGTAATTTCCTCTCTATTGAAGCATTGTTTTGCTTTCTGGACAGACTTGCAATTCTAAACCATTTTTCTCTCTGAAACAAAAAGTACTGAATTTAATTTTCATACCAGCCAAATAATGTTTTAAAAAAAATTTTTGGGTCTACTATTTTTACACCTACAACATCTGCTCTGCTTTAAATTGACCAGAGTTTTGGGTCTAGGAGACTGTAAGGTTTCTATCATAGTTCCTTTAGCAGAGAGACCTCAGGACGTTCCTTTCTGCTGCTAAGAAGCTATGAGGAATCCTACAATCCTTTGTGTGACATGATGTTCAGGAACAACTCACCTCACAGAAATGAACGAAAATTAAGTATTGCTTCACGTGTGCTGTATGTGACACAGGCAAATGTTTGCACCCTCCCATGTTTTAGTCAACATATTCCCACTCTCAACTCATCACGTATTGACTCTTGGTCAAAGTCCCCTGTGTGTCATGTGCTGATGCCACAATTCTATGACATCATGTGTGTTTCCGTCACATAATACGTTTGATTTAAAGGGGTCATAGAATGCAAAACCTAGTTTCCATTGTCATAGATCAATAACGATAGTTCAGTGGGTGAAATGGAAGACCGGAGAAGCTCAAACCACATCGACATCTACTTTTGTCTCACAATTCTAAACTTCCACCAAAAAACGGGTGAATCCAAACGAAGCGCCGAGTTGACGTATACTTGGGGATGTTGCCTTATTTGGTTCTGGTCCGTACTTTTCTCACACCCCAAAATTGAAATCCTGACCAGCCCACTGGTTCTCTGTCCAAGAACAAGAATAGAGGTAGATTTAGGACACCAGTTTAGCTGTTTAGCCTACAGTTGGGTTTACTTTTACAAGAATTGCAAAGCAGGCAGTTTCTCTATGGTAAATGAGCCAGAACCCCGAACGTAAATGCAGTGTTGCACGCTGCACGGATTAAGGGAAACATTTTCACAGTCTTCCCAAGGATCCAAAGACTCAACAGGCATGGATTATGTTTGTCTATCAGAAGATCCCTGCTAAGTTTGATGCTCAGCTGTTCATTTGCTCTAAGCATTTTACCGAGGACAGTTTTCAAAATCTTGGACAGTTCAAAGGATGATTTGCTAAACTTCTTTTACTGAAACGAGGGGCTGTTCCGACCTTAAGGCCATCACAACTGCAAGCTGGAAGTATGATTCTGTTGCTAAGCTCCGGGTCTCCGGGTCGTGTTCGGTCTCTCCGTTTCCCACTGGCTCCCTGCACCCGTTCGGCGGAGTTCCCGGACCAGCCCCGGAGATCACAGCTTGGTTCGAGTGTCCGGTATGTTTCAATTACGTGCTCCACTGCAGTCGACCAAACTCCCAGATGATTTTGAAATTCCCCCAAAACATTTTTTTAGGCATGAAAAGTAGGACATGTCCGGGAGAAAGAGGCCGTCTAGTCAACCTACCATATTAACAATTCGATGTTTCAGTGAGTGAGTGCTTGTTGCTATGATGCCTCTTTGCTCAGCAGCTTCACTCATTGTAAACCAACCAATCAGAGCACAGCGCATCTAAATATTCATGAGCATACCATAAAAGTAAGAAAAACTGTCGTTTCATTCTAGGGCTTTTAACCAGGCTGCATTAGGGCTCATAGAACAGCTAAAATGCCATTTTTAGCCCAACCAATGTTACACACCCTATTCAGAGACCATAAGGACCAGCACCAGATATCCTATAGAATCATTATATCACCCCTTTAAAGGCTTTCAGCCCAGAGGCTCCTTTCCTACCCATGATAGAGTTCTCACTGCAGCCAGAATCTAGTATATGAACTGATGATATTCCAAGGCTATAGGAAGTAGGATTGGCTATGATGTGGTTGATTAAGACAGAGTTTAATGATTGTGATTATTCTCACTTTTCATTTGATTAAAGGAAAGTAGTTTCTACAATAGGAAGTATTTAATTAAAAATGTCACTTTTTCTGCAGAATTTCACATTACTGCCTTCTTTAAATGATATAACCAGTAATTCAAATACCATTAATAACATGACCATTTTCCAGATATGCAGAAAAATCTCAAAGCTTGATTAAGGATAGAACATTTTCAAACTGATAATTATTACACTTTTGTTGCTTTTAAACATTGGTTTTTACTTTTAAACAGATTCTTTTAAACAGATGCTGATGTTATTAATAGCTGAATGTAATTTAATATCTTTTTCTGCAGGTATCAATAGAGAAGTTGTCCATATCTACCACAGAGTTGGAGATGATGCTGTTTTACCCTGTAAAAGTCCTTCGCCATCCTCTTCCTCATGCTCCACTGTTAACTGGCTTTATAGGAGAGATGAAGACATGAATCCTCAGCAGGAAGTTCAGAGAGGAATTGTTGTTCAGAGTTCATCTAAAGCTGCCAGGCTGAGTGTGGACAATAACTGCTCTCTGATCATCAACAGCATCACTGCTGAGGATGCTGGAGGTTACAGATGTCAGATTGAGGATGGAGGCAGCTCTGATCCAGATGTGTATCTAAATCTGATGAGCAGTGAGTGAACTGACTCTGTGTTCCTGCTGATATCAGTCCTTCCTAACCTGGAAATAAAAATTGTCTTTGTTGGTTTTCTCATTTCAGTTTCTCCAGTAGAAGCTGTTCCAACAGAGAATAATATCACATTAATATGTTCTCTGGTCAGATATATCTCATTGGGTTCTTGTCCAAAGAACAGCCTCCTCTGGGTGGATGAGACAGGAGCTAATCTGACTGGTGAAGGTGTTGGGTACCAGTTTAGACAGACTGGCTGTGATTCTTATCTCACTGTGAAGCTTCAGAGCAGCAGCAGCAGAAGATACACCTGCCAGTTTGTTTATGGAAACACAGTGAAGATAGAAGGTCACTACCAGCTGGAAGGTATGATGTCATCTTATTAAGGTTGATTAAAAATTGTGATTTCATCTCCACTTTGTATTTATGTTGATACAATGTAATATCTCTTTAACTTTAGTATAAATTACATTTCATTTAAATAATGTTCACTGCATATTATTTATTTTTTTAGTCTTCACAGCTGTTCCTGCCAATAACACCATCATCATCATCCTCTTCCTCAGAGCAGGGATCTTTCTGCTTTTGCTGGTTGTTACTGCTGCTGTTTTTATTAAATGCAGAAAAAGTAGAGTAACCGAGGAACGCCAAACAACAGGTACCTGATCTATCAAAGGGAACTTAATCTTGAGGAAACTTGAATCATTAAAAAAATAAGTTTTATTATTTTTAAAAAAAATAAGCGCTTTAAAAAATGCAGACATGCATACAAAGATGTTTAACTTTCAAAAAGTCAATATTTAAAAGGATGAATTGCATCATATTGCTTCTTTTGTTAGTTTGAGTATTTCAATGTGTTTCAGTAAATTGCTCATCTTCTATGATCATTTCCCAAAGAGCTGCAATCATATTCTTTTTAGCTCATTTCTGTTTCTGACATTTAAAGCTTATGAAAGATTTTCTTCACTTAAGGAAGAACATTTTCAAAGGTGAAGTGTAAGAACGGACTTAAACTGGAAGGAAACTAGTCTGTTTTGTAGCAACTCTACTGGTAGACCAGAAAAAGCAAAAATTGAGTGTGATCGTGAGGTATTTATTTATTTATTTTTCTTTCAGAAAATCAAGATTCAACCCATGAAAGTCATCACTATGTGAGTATTGATGCACTAAATGGTTTAAAGGAGTAAAACCTAGCCTATGGTGCCAAGATCATGACAACTTAACCTGCATAAGCCCACAATTTGGCACCAACACGATTGGATCTGCTGTAATGCTTTCTATTGTAACAAGCAACACAGTCTAATTAAACCAAATGAAAAAAGTTAGCTTTACGCTAATTTAGCCAGTACAGTTCACTTACTTGTCAAGGAGTAACATTGAAACTACAGAGTCCGTTTTCACTCTTTCTCCTTCATCAGCTGCTTCTATCGGTAGAAGGCTTGCCTGATGTTGATCCTCCTTTTTTTTAAATATATCTGGTTTCATGGTCTATTAAGTTCTCATTTTTTGCTTTTTTGGTGGTGGTGAAACCATTTCTTGAGCTGCTGCTAATGCATGTCCTGTAGTGTAGTACAGACTTTCAACTGTTCAATTAAATTATCTTTACCGCCTCTCCTCAGTCACACTGACCTGCCAACAAGGGGAAACACGTTACTCTGCCCGTTAGGAATATTGTAAAGAAGCCTCTATAAAATCATGCAAAACTGGTGGATGTCTTTACACTCACCGCTGGGTGTTGATGAGGACAAAAACTGGAGATGGAATTTCCCTTTAATATTTATTGAGCTGTTTGAGCAGTAGTACAACATGAAGAAAATGTGGAGACTGTAGAAGATAAGGTCTAAAATTACAACAGAAATAGACCTTATCTGTTTACCTGATGAATACTTTTGCAGGAAATAGATCCTAAGAACTCAAATACAATCAAAATTAACTAGAATAACACAAAATGGAAATAAAACCAATGAAAACCTAAAGATAAAATTAGATAAAACAGAACCAAAACCATTACAATGCTGGGCTAAAACTATCTCCATGCCAGTGGTCTCTGTAAGGGTGGATAAATGTTTACTGTCCATTTGTTCTCATGATGAGGAGCAGTTCAGCTTGACCTTTAACTCTGTTAAGGCTTTTAATCCCCCAAATTCTCTGAGAAAAAAGGAAAAAAGAACTCATCAAGCTTCGCAGGTTTATAACTGTCCCATTTTAAAGACATTTTTAATTGACTCGGTCATACCAATGACAAAAACTAACTTTATCTATGCTGCAGGTTGAAGACTGAGTTAGTTAATATAATAATATTAATATAATATGTTTTTTCTCAACATTATTCAGTTTGATGCCTTGTTCAGAAAATGCTCAATATTTTACTGAGGCACATTATTTTATAACAACATCATGAACTATTAAACTGTTTTTTCTCATGGTTTGAAAACATGTTAAACGACCACAGACCAGTGGAAAGTCTTTAGATGAAACTGAAACAGTTTGTGGTTTGTATGCTGCAGATCAGACATGATGAAGATACGGTGACCAATCCTGCTGTTAGGACTAAACGGAAGAAAGAAGATGATTGTAATCTCAGCGGTTTCAACAGCAACATCTCTGATGCAAGTTTACCCTAATAGAGAAATGAAATGTCTCATATCAGCTCCGCCTTTATTAAACTTGTTTACAGGAAGCGGGCAGTTGGGTTTAAGATCCACTGATACTAAAGTATCAGTTCAAAGCTTTTATTGCAGTTTTTCTTCATTGTGCTTGATTGAACATGATCATTTCTGAGAGGACATTTATAGTTTATATTTCATATAACAGTTGTTATACATGTAAAATATGTTGGCTGTAAACGCCACTGCTTTCTGCTGCTGCCTAACTCAGCTGAGCTCAGTTTGTACAACAATAATACTTCATTTTGATGTTGCAGCTACTGAATGTATAGATGCTGAGTTGTTGTGATGATTTTACCAATTGTATTTTCTGTTAAATGAAATAAAATATGTTTTTCCTGGTTTTGATTATATTTATGAAGAAGGAAACCCCTAAATATCTAAATTTGTTCTGTACACAAATGGAAAAATAAAAATAAATCTGAATAGATAAACTGTTTTTAAATATATTAGAAACTGTTCACATTATGAGCTATAGCGTTAAGTCTGTGTTTGTTTGTTCATTATAAAAGCATATATTTTTATGTGTGACAGCGTCCTGTATCATAATTATATCTTTGCTGTTTCTAACAAAGCTAAATCTATATAAAAGCGCATATATTAATTTAGGAATCTATCACTGGCCAGGTAACTATTCTCCATCAGTAAAAAGCAATAGACTGGGGAGAAGGGTCCCTCCATGATGGCTACCTTCCTGCTTCCCCAGCAGTTGATCCAGTGATTGTTCGTCTGTGCGCAGTGCATGCTGGTTAGATCCCTGTCTGACTTTCTCTTAATGTCTGGAGCATATAAGCAATTTAAACCTGGAGAGATCAGAATGAGTTCATCTGTCTGAGCCTGCCGCTGCAGTTGATCAGAAGCAACTGTGGTGGCTGCATGGCATGGTGCATCATTGGAAAGCGCCCCCATAACCGGTGACTGGACAGTTGATTGGGTCTAATTTTTGTAAATCAAAACAGAAATCCTGTGATCCAGGGTATGCAGGGTATTTACCCTTAATTTGAGTAGGTATAGTAGGTATAATAACATGATTTGCCAATGAAATAAGGATTTTTACTCTTAAAATAAAGTAATTGTTTAATACACTTGAAATAAGACAATTAAATAGTTTTTTTCTTATTTTAAATGTAAATTGGCTTATTACATTGACAAAGTATCTCACTTACCTCCTCAATTCAAGAAAAAATGCAGTTATTTTAAGAAAAAATGACTTCGATTTTTTTTCCAGTGGCGGCATCCTCGTTCCATATAGGCTATAACAGTCAATTGGAGCACACTGTGCATCAAATATATAAAAGATAGGGAAGCCCGGCACATCAGTATGTGACACAGAGGGAGTCTAACCAAGTGTGAGGAGTTGAGAGTGAGAATATGCTTTACCTTGAGCCACTGATGAATATCCTCACTAAATCCTTTGCACTCCACCAGTTAGTACATACAGTAACAGCAATGTGCAGTCTGAGCACCTCTTGCTTTCATGAAACCAATCGAAAATGGGGAACTAAAAAACAGGTTGCTAGCATTAAAAATCCCTGAAGGTTTTGTAAAGGACTCAAGCTTCTGCCTTTTGGATCCCTAAAAAAAACTCTTTAGCAGGTAAGCCAAGAGCACAGTCCCCTATGAAAAAACAATTAATCTGGAGGAAAACATAAACAAGAAAAACTACCTAGCAAGTATCTAGCCAGTATTATAAAGGTTAATGTTCGGTTTTATCTCACAGGTTCATGATAATGTTGATGATGACAAGGTGCACCAGGCAAATGATGGAGAACGTTCAGTTGACCGTTGTTGTGCCATGTGCCATGATCGTGGTTTTGGACATTAGGAACCAGTGTCCATGTTTCATCTTGACATGGTGACCAGAGAGGAAAATGCAGTTTTGGCTCATAAACAGCTGTAAGAGCTCTGCACCCCCTTTCCCATTTCTCAGCCAACTGCCTTCACGGGAACTCCCACAGAGGTGTGACTTGCCACCCCCCTCTGTGTTGAGGACAGTGAAAACCACACAACACACAGGATTTCACTCTCTTTCCCATGAAGTTGCCTGAGGGTCCGTTTTCATAACATCTCATTAAAAAAGTCGGCATAACCTTAAAACTCAAAATCTTAGTAACACATCACTTGTATGTTGCTCAGTACCTGCTCAGTACCGCACAGTATCACTTTGGATATGACAACTCATATATCACAATTAGTGCAGCTGGCCTGTGCAACCTTGATATGTCCAAATAATTCATTTTTAATGAGTGTGACTTCATCATCAAAATGCCTTATCTCTGTAGCTCTGCAGTACCAACACCTTGGATTTAATCCAATATTTCTGTCCCCTTTCTAACACCTGCATCTTACTTGGATCCCAAAACTTCAAAGGGCCAGCTGCAGAGAGCCTTACACACACTGCTCTCTTTCTCTCTCTTTGGCCTTAATAATAATAAATGTATTTATTGTGAAACAACTCTATATGCATTGTAAAACATTTAATTCCATTTTATTCTAATCATTGGTGCAGATTAATTCACTACATTTCCCCCCTGTGATCCTGAAAAGGATCACTAAGTGAATCTACAGGTGATTGTCAAAGTGAAATACTATACTATAAATGTGAAGTTTCAAAATTAACTGCTGTTTATATATTTTGCACACCAAACTAAAAGTGAGACTAAAACACACCATATGCTTTGTAGTGAGTGATATAAGATGTTGTAATTACATGATGAAGTAATAAAATGTAAGAAATGGAGAACGTCTTAAAACAAAGAGGGATCCCCCTCTTGGCTCACTTATGAGGATCTTTCCTCTTGCTTACTTTTTTTGTAGAAGGATTTTCAGTTATTGTTTTCTAAGCAGAGGGGAATCCCAATGCCCAAGCAGCTTTATCTCCTACTAGGTCACTGCATCCCCCTCCATGTGGTGTCATTACACACCCATAAATAATCCAAGAGAAGCTCCATCATGCCTGGACTATGCCAGGCAAACACATCATCTAATGGTCAATGGACC